GAGGGAGGGGCTCATCCCAGGTGTTTGAATGGGGCAGGCTGGGAGGGAGGGGCTCATCTCCCTGTGTATGAATGGGGCGGGCTGGGGGGAGGTTCTCATCTCCCTGTGTATGAATGGGGCAGGGTGGGAGGGAGGTTCTCATCTCCATGTGTATGGATGGCGCAGGCTGGGAGGGAGGTTCTCATCCCCCTGTGTATGAAAGTGGCAGGCTGCGAGGGAGGTTCTCATCTCCCTTTGTATGAATGGGGCAGGCTGGGAGGGAAGGCCTCATCTCCCTGTGTATGAATGGGGCAGGCTGGGAGGAAGGGGCTCATCTCCCTGTGAATGAACGGGGCTGGCTGGGAGGGAGAGTTTCATCTCCCAGTGTATGAATGGGTCAGGCTAGGAAGGAGGTTCTCATCTCCCTGTGTGTGAAAGGGGCGGGCAGGGAGGGAGGTTCTCATCTTCCTGTGTATGATTGGGGCAGGCTGCGAGGGAGGTTCTCAATTCCCTGTGTATGGATGGGGCAGGCTGGGAGGGAGGTTCTTATCTCCCTGTGTATGAATGGGGCAGGATGGGAGGGAGGGGCTCATCCCCATGTGTATGAATGGAGCAGGTGGGACTGTGGACGGACAGGAACCAGGAGAGTAGCTGAAGTCCAAGCACTGAGTGGACGTGCCCAGGGGTGCTTAGTGCAGGCCTGGCTCGGGCTGTTTAGGTGGTGTCTGGGCACCAGACAACTGTGAGTTAGGAAAGCATGGGTCTAACTCACAGAAAAGGGAGCGTGCCTGGGAGGAAGGTGTGGATGAGAGAAGTCAAGACAGAACTCCAGAAGTGAATTAAATCGTGGTCGAATTAAATCGTTTTTGGAAAGCTCTTAAAAGTAAACTTTTTATTTCACCGTGGGATTTTTTTTTGAGATGGGTCTCTGTCACCCAGGCTGGAGTGCAATGGCTGTGGTCTCAGCTCACAGCAACCTCTGCCTCTTGGGTTTGAGCGATTCTTCTACCTCAGCCTCCCGAGTAGCTGGGACTACAGGCCTGTACCACCACACTTGGCTAATTTTTGTATTTTTGGTAGAGATGGGGTTTCATTATTGTTGGCCAGGCTGTTCTCGAACTCCTGACCTTGTGATCTGCCTGCCTCGACCTCCCAAAGTGCTGGGATAACAGGTGTGAGCCACTGTGCCCGGCCCTCACTTTGATATTTAAAGATACATTTTAGATATGTGTATACAAATAATTTTCCACTTATGTCTTTTTTTTAAGAAGTGTCTTTTCTCGTGTGAGCTTGAACAGATAGTTCCAAATTTGCAGCGCTGTCTAAAACTGTGGCTGCTTCACTGTCTGAAACAGATGATCTATTTAGACGGGTTTTTCTGCCTGCTTACCATGATTCCTCTTCAGGTATGCAGCTCTCGGCTCTGCAAATTGCTTTAGAATGGAGTAAATTGAATGCTGGTTCATTATCGTCACTCAAGTGGCTTCTGCATTTTCTGAATTGCCCTTCTTTTTTCAGTATCATAGCCACTGATACAGCTTACTTATTTTTGGTTTTCTTCTATTTTAAAGTGGTGGCATTTAATCCTGCCTTCTGTCTAACTGAGCTCCTGGGTTCATTTCGATACATGCTAAATTGTTATCATGGTCCGTTCCAGTGTTTTTAGTCGTGTATCATTGTGTCTTTTTATCTTTTCGAGTCTTTGTCTTCTCTGTCCTAATGGGAGTCCGAGTTTCCCCAGGGCAGGGGCGGTGCTCGCGCCTCTGATGCCTCCACAGCACCTGCCGCTAGGCGGACCTTCATCCCTGACTTGAGGCAGAGACAAGCCTTTCCGTGGACAATGACATTCCCTTTCAGGTGGTCCTTGGCTAGGTGCCGTTTTTGGGGCTTTTCGGGCTTTTTAACGTCCAGGGTGACAACATGTTTTTGAACTCCCAGAGGCATCCACATTCCTTGGCTCATGGACTCTTAAAAGAAAAACTTCTGCTGAATTAAATTGAAAGGAGTTTGCTTGAGCAATGATCACCTCCTGAATCGGGCAGCCCCCAGAATCACAGCCGATTCAGAGAGAGTTCAGGGATGCCTCGTGGTCAGAACAAATTTATAGACAAAAAAGGGAAGTGAAGTACAGAAATCAGCAGTGAAGCACAGACACAGCTGGCCGGGTTACAGGCTGGCATTTGCCTGATTGGAACGCAGTTTGAGCACTGAGCAGTGGTTGAGTGGGTGAAGGCTGGCTGCTGGGATGGGCCCAGACTCAGGTACTGTTACACGTGTATCCTCTAAGTTAGGTTCTCAGGCTTGCTTCCATGTTAAGTCAGGTTATGGTTCATCCACAAGGACTCCGATGTAGAAGTACAGAGTCCTCAGGCCCTATTTCACTTGCTTCAACAACTCCCTCATTCATCTCTAAATCCAGCAATAGGCAGCCGAGTCCTCCTCACTGCTGCCCTTATTACTGTTGGAGGGTGTCCAGGTTCTTGGCATCTTGAACACAGAATTGGAAAACACACACAAGTGAGGAAAGAATGTAGCAACAAAAGCAGAGTTATTGAAAATGAAAGTACACTCCCCGGAGTGGGAAGGGCCGAGCAGTGGCTCAAGGGCCCAAATACCCCCCAGAGGTTTCCCGTTGGCCGCTCGGTGTTTACCCCATGTAAGGGAAGTGGTGGCCCTCAGCCAGTGTGATTGGTGTGGAAAGCAGCCAATCAGAGCTAAACGGAAGTTACAAAGTTACAAAAAGCAACCAATCAGAGGTACTTTCAGTCTGCCTACTGCCATGCAGAAAAGGTGAGGGTTTGCAGAGGCTGTAGCCTCTGGTCCTTCTGTTACTTGGGTGTGGAAAGTTAGTTTTCCTTTCAATTTAGTTCTAGGAAGTCAGTGTGAATTGGCTTTAGGTTCCCTGCCTCCAGACCCTATTCTGCTGTGTTACCACCTCTCTGATTCTCTTTTCTGTGGTCACCTTTCTCTGGGACTACAGCCAGGGAAGCTTTTCTGATTTCAGTGACCCATGTGATTGAATCATCCAGGGTAGCCTCCTCATCTCAGGGTCCTTAATTTAAGCACATTGGCGGAGTCCCTTTACTGTGCGAATTAACATTCGCAGGTTCTGGGGATTAGAATGTGGATAAGGTTGGGGGGTTGTTACTATGCTGGCCGCGGGGACTTGGCCCAGGTGCAGTCAGTGCTTGTCCTAAACACATGGCTTTGAATTTATAAGCCTGCAGTGCTAGTCACAGCTCTAGTAACCAGTTGTAGAACTTTTTCGTCTCTAAGCCTCAGGTTCATCACCTGAGATCTTAGTTTTATCTTTTAATTATTAAGCATATTCACTATGGCTATCGTAATTTATGCTGTTGTGTGTGTACAGCCTGCATTTCTCTGAGGAGATCCAGCCTCTTCTGTGATTGTTGGAGGCTGATAGCTCTCAGCCAGGCTCTGCTCCAAGAATTGCCGCCAGCTGAACAGAGGCACTTTGCCCAAGGTCACGCCCCTCCTCGGGGACAGCCTGCATCCAGTGACTGACCCATGGGGGAGGGGTGGGTGGTATAAAGGCCTGGCTATCTGGCCTCAACTCTAAAGGGCTACCCAGCTCCAGAGCTCCCCATTGGATTGGCTGAGGCCTCCACTGCAGATGTGGTACATTTCATCTTCTCCCTCTGCCCAGCCCTTCCTCCTTCACCCCGACTTGGAATAGTTCCCAGGAGCACTGTCTAGTAAGTCTCCTTCACATACCTCTGGAGCTTTAGAGCTTGCTTCCCCGGGAACCTGTCTGAATCCTCTGTAACCCTCTTTCTTTGGTGGTGGTTTCTTTTGGTTTTTGATCCTGTGGTTTTGCCTTATTGTATGACTGGCTATTTTAATTAATTATTTTATTCTATTTAGACAGGGTCTTGTTCGCTTGCCCAGGCTAGAGTGCAGTGGTGTGATCATGGCTCACGGTAACCTCCACCTCCTGGGCTCAAGTGATCCTCTTGCCCCAGCCTCCTGAGTAGCTAAGACAGCAGGCGTAAGCCACCATCCCCAGATAATTTTTATAATTGTTTTTAGCAGAGACAGAGTCTTGCTATGTTGCCCAGATTGGACTCAAGTGATCTGACTACCTCAGTCTCCCAAAGTGCTGGGATTAGAGGTGTGAGGCTGCCATGCTTGGCCTTATGACTGGCTATTTCTGGTTAAATGTTAGACATTTGTGTGTGTATGTCAGATTTTAGAGACTCTGGATATTATCTTCCTCCAGAGGACTGGCTTCTGGCAGGAGGCTGGCTCGTCTAGGAGCACTGGCCTCCTCCAGCCAGGATTGAGACGACCTGGAGCTTGAGTCTGTTCAGGCTGATCTCCTTCTAGCTTGTCTTTACTCCTGGGCTGCACACTTGTGGGCTTCGTGCTCTGCAGCCTCTTTTCCCGGGTGGGCGCTGTGCTTGGGTTTTGTGCCCTGGGCTCTGTGAGTCTGTCAAAGCTCTCCTCAGCGTCAGCCTCTCAGCCAGGCTTTCCAGATGGGCAGATGCCTTTAGGGGAAGAGGGACCAGGTGCTGGCTTCCCCCCAGGCTTCTTCCTGTCCTGGATCTTGGCGTTTCTTCCTTGCGTTGGTAGCTCTCTGAGGCCGTGAAATAGATTTAGGTTGTTCCTTGAGGTTTTCTAGTTCTCTGCAGAAGACTTGGTTTAAACCCTGCTCTGTACTGCTGGAAGCTGTTTCCTGCAGTATTGTTGAAGTGTAATTTGTTTGACCAGTCTTTTACCTTTGAAATAACAGTTTTACTAAAAACTAATTTAGCCATTGGTGTGTAAATAATTTACATCTTTGTTGCTTAATTTTATACCCACTTACAATTATTTCCATATACAAATTTGAAGTGGAATTGTGCTAAAAGTGTGCAAAAGTTGAAGGCTTTTAATGCGTTTCTCAGTTGCTTTCCAGACACTCTGTACTAATTTATACTTCAATAGTGGATGAGATAAGCTGCCTTTTCAGTCTCTATTAAATCTGACTTCATCAATGTGCTTTTTCTTCCCTCCCGCAGGCACGTGCTTTAACACCTCAAACTGCAGAAACAGATGCCATTCGCTTTTTGGTTGGGACGCAGTCTCTTAAATATGATAATCAGGTAACTATTTTTGACAAACGTGTTCATGATAATTACTAAGCCTATTCTTGGTGTTATAACCATTTTGCTCTTGATTTTCCAGCAACATTTGAGAAAAAAATTAATGCCACATAAACAAAATAAAGCTTTCAATGGATTTAAGTCTATCTTGAAATCAAAGAATATTGTCCATCTGTATGTACTGACTGAGTTCAGTAATTGAAACTGACTCCATTTGGCATGACTTCTGTAGTTCTGTGTTGCTCTTGTGGCTGTACAGACTCGCGTTATAGGCAACTGAAAAGTGAGGGTATGTGGTGACCGCCACCCCTTCTGTTTGGGCTGTGGAGTACTGCTTTAATTGCTTGCAGAATTCTTTCCCTGCGAGTGTGGGCTGGGTCACAACCTCACCCCGTTGATCCAGGCCACTTGATCTGTCGCTGCCACTCGATCTAGGTGGGCATACAGATGGTACCTTTTAGCTGTTCTGGCCACTGTAGCAGAGACTCATGAGATCTGGATTCAGTTCATGGCCTGGCAGTAACCATGTGATCTTGAGCACATGGATTCTCCTGCTGGACTCCAGTGTCCTCGTTGCTAAAGTGGAGATTGAAATGAGACCCCATGGTGACTCTGCAGATGTGCATTATCTTCGGCACAGGGACAGTGTGCGTGAGGCCACGTCAGGCATGGTCTAGGGCCTCTGCCCTGCTTACCTGATCATGCAGGAGAAAGGGCACTAAAGTAGCTGTGGAACGATCTGCAGGCCTGCGTAGGACAGAGTGAGACTGTCACTCTCATACATCGATAAGGACTTAAAATCCGCTTAGTCACTTGGCAACTAATCAGTGATAGTTTAGAGCTTTTAAATAAGTGCTTATGTACTTAATTTGCAATTCCTGTACCCCAAACTGGACAAAAATCATTATACACAAAGAGTATTAAGTGTCATGATACTTATAGTCATAAATTACAAGCAATCAGAATATCAAAATGCGTGAATGTTAGGTTGAACTATAGGAAATTGCCGCTTGAAATGGCAGATTTGCACACTTCCCTTGGGTTGAATCTGTTACAGTAAATGGTATTCACTTATTACACTCATTGAAAGTTGCAAACTCCTAAGAAACATGACAACTTAAGAATCGTTAGGTGATTTAGTGGGATGTTAAAATTGTGTTTACAGTATGATCACCGTGGTGTAAAAAAGCAAAGTACACGGTGAATTTCCTCTTAGAATAAAGACTGGAAGGACATAGGCCAAAAAGGACTAAAAATTGAGCCCAGGGTTATCTTCAGATGTCGTTCACCCGGGAGATGTGCCACCACCACCCCATGGATGCCTGAAAGCTTGGGGAGTGCTGAACCCCATACATGGTGTTTTTCCCTATCCTTACATACAGGGAAACTTTAAGTTGTGAATTAGGCACAACAAGAGATTAACAACATAACTAATAATAAAATAGAAGAATGATTGTTACTTATGTACTATACTCCCCCTTCTTTTCTATTTTATTTTATTTATTTATTTATTTTTGAGACGGAGTTTCGCTCTTGTTACCCAGGCTGGAGTGCAATGGCGAAATCTCGGCTCACTGCAACCTCCGCCTCCTGGGTTCAGGCAATTCTCCTGCCTCAGCCTCCCGAGTAGCTGGGATTACAGGCACGCACCACCATGCCCAGCTAATTTTTTGTATTTTTAGTAGAGACGGGGTTTCACCATGTTGACCAGGATGGTCTCGATCTCTTGACCTCGTGATCCACCCACCTCGGCCTCCCAAAGTGCTGGGATTACAGGCTTCAGCCACCGCACCCGGCCTCTCTTTTCTTTTTTTGAGATGGGGTTTCGCTCTTGTTACCCAGGCTGGAGTGCAATGGTGTGATCTCCGCTCACTGCAACCTCTACCTCCTGGTTTCAAGCAATTCTCCTGCCTCAGCCTCCTGAGTAGCTGGGATTACAGGTACGCACCACCATGCCCAGCTAATTTTTTTTTGTATTTTTAGTAGAGACGGGGTTTCACCATGTTGACCAGGATGGTCTTGAATGCCTGACCTCAGGTGATCTGCCCGCCACCTCAGCCTCCAAAAGTTCTGGGATTACAGGCATGAGTCAGCATGCCCGGCCACTCACCCTTCTTGAGAAGCTGTGCAATGGTATAAGGCCTGCATGATGAGATGAAGTGAGGGGAATGATGGTGGCATTGCGACGTAACGTTGGGCTAATATTGACCTTCTGAGGATACGTCAAAAGCAGGAGCATCTGTTACGGGTGATCCGGACCATCATGCCATACAGTGTTGACGTCAAAAGCAGGAGCATCTGTTACGGGTGATCCGGACCATCATGCCATACAGTGTTGACGTCAAAAGCAGGCGCATCTGTTACGGGTGATCCGGACCATCATGCCATACAGTGTTGACGTCAAAAGCAGGCGCATCTGTTACGGGTGATCCGGACCATCATGCCATACAGTGTTGACGTCAAAAGCAGGAGCATCTGTTACGGGTGATCCGGACCATCATGCCATACAGTGTTGACGTCAAAAGCAGGAGCATCTGTTACGGGTGATCCGGACCATCATGCCATACAGTGTTGACGTCAAAAGCAGGAGCATCTGTTACGGGTGATCTGGACCATCATGCCATACAGTGTTGACGTCAAAAGCAGGAGCATCTGTTACGGGTGATCCGGACCATCATGCCATACAGTGTTGGTGGTTGGATGTCAGGAGCAGTGTGGGTGGCTCAGGGCAGGTAGCTTTTGTAGCATGAATATGCTGGTCAAAGGGACGATTTATGTTCCAGGTGGGGCAGAGTGGGATGGCTCAGGACGTCATCATACTACTCAGAATTCAAACTTATGAATTGCTTATTTCTGGAATTTTTCATTTAAGATTTTTGTGCTACCCTTGACCACAGGTAACTGAAACCTCAGAAAGCAAAAACTTGAATTGGGGCGGTGTGGGGCAACATTTATTCAGGATGTAAAATTTTTTTCTTTAGAATATTTTGTTTTGGAATGTGTATATATGTGTGTGTTTTACTTTTCTACTGGAAAAAAATATAAGAAGGGAATTACTTATTTATAAAAATAGTTACCAGTGGCCCCCTCAAAGGGAAGACGGCCTGTGGTTTTAGGGATGGTGCTTATGGGAGAATCTGGGAGTAAAACCCACGCCCATGCCTGAGCGTTGGTGGTGCAGAGAGAGGATGGGAGGCACGCCAGTCTGCCTTCCAAACGCAGCTCCAGGAAGCAGAAGCCAGCAGAAACCCAGGAATTTAACACGAATTGGGGCCACGGAAAGCATGGCAGTTATGAGCAAATTATCGTGTACCTGCTCTTAGCTGGAATTTGGTAATGGCATTTCCATTAATGACATTAATGAAGAACCATTGGTACTAAAGTTATCAAAATAGAAAAAATAAAAAAATAAAGAGACCTGTCGTGGTGTCTCACACCTGTAGTCCCAGCACTTTGGAAGGCCGAGGCGGGTGTGTCACTTGAGGTCAGGAGTTCAACCTACCTCAGCATTGCCACCTGGCCTATGTGGTGAAACCCCATCTCTACTAAAAATAAAAAAACTTAGCTGGGTGTGGTGGCGTGCGCCTGTAATCCCAGCTACTTGGAAGCCTGAGGCAGAAGAATCACTTGACAACTGGGAAGCCGAGATCCTGCCACTGCACTCCAGCCTGGGGGACAGAGCAAGATTCTGTCTCAAAGAAAAGGAGGAAAGAATCAGCCTTAAATGACATAAAATGTTTTAATCTGCCTTAATTTATATCTTTTGGAATGAAGTAATGTCCAATGAATTACTTTAAAGGCGTTTTCCCGTTTTTCTCTTCCCTTCTAAATTGAGCATCCTGGTAATTACTAGGTTAGTCTCCCAGTGTCTTATCGTTCGAGTCAGCAGCATGTTTTTTACGCACTTTACGTATTGCCACGCTTGCCTGCAGTTGTCTGCGTGTGAATCTGTGTGATAGGTATGAAGCTGTGTTTTTGACTTGCTGGTTTTGTCTTTCTCCTTCTAGTAAAGGCATGTGATATTGTTGACCTGTCCATCCATTCAACAAACGCTTACTTCATAGATTAACAGAACTCTTTAATTCCTCTTTTTAATGTGCTGGGTACACAAAAACTGAACAGATATTTGTGTCCTGAGTTCAGTGTTGAGTGAAATGGCGAAATGGATAAGCAGTGACTCAGTGCTATTAGTGTTACTTTCCGGTATGCTTGGCTCTGTGTCTGCACCCAAATCTCACGTTGAATTGTAACCCCCAGTGTTGAGGGAGGGACCTGGATGGAGGTGATTGGGTCGTGGGTGTGGAGTCCCTCTTGCTGCTCTCATGACAGTGAGTGCATTCCCGTCAGGTCCAATTGTTTGAACATGTGTGGCACTTTCCCCCTTCACGCTCTCTCCTGTTGCCACGTGAAGATGGGCCTGCTTTCCATTTGCCCTCTGCTGTGATTGTAAGATTCCTGAGGCCTCCCCAGCCATACCTCCTACACAGCCTGTGGCACTGGGAGTCAATTAAACCTCTTTCCTTTATATAAACTACCCAGTCTAAGGTAGTTCTCTTTTTTGAGACAGAGTCTCGCTCTGTCACCCGGGCTGGAACGCAGTGGTGCAATCTTGGCTCACTGCAACCTCTGCCTCCCAGGTTCAAGCAATCCTCCTGCCTCAGCCTCCCAAGCAACTGGGATTACAGGCACACGCCACCACGCCCGGCTAATTTTTGTATTTTTAGTGAGACAGGGTTTTTCCCTGTTTGCCAGGCTGGTCTCAACCTCCTGACCTCAGGTGATCTGCCTGCCTTGACCTCCCAAAATGCTGGGATTACAGATGTGAGCCACTGTGCCTGGCCTCAGGTAGTTCTTTATAACTGTGTGAGAATGGACGAATACACCATCTCACAGTTTTCTCTGTGTCCTTGTCTTGCAGCGTCCTCTCTGTCTCTGTCTTGTAGTGTCTTCCCTGTCCCTGTTTCGTAGCATCCTCCTTGTCCCCGTCTCATGGCATCCTC